CACCCCAGTCTGACCGGTCCAGCCCCCAGCCTCCACTTTACCTTGCTCCACTGCAAGCCTCTGGGGCTACATCCCCACCCAGCCCCTTGTGCCCCACCTGGCTGGGCCAGTGTTTTGGGGTTGGGCCACCCTCTTGGCCCCCTGGAATGGGACATGTAACCCCCACCTCACCTCTCTGGTTTGCCTGGAGCTGGCAGAAGAACCAAGTCTGTGGGGCATGGGACTTCCCTTTCATGAGGGAAAATGGGCTAGGGTGTAAAATACCTCGATCCCACATGGGATTGAGGATGCCTGGCCAATCCCAGAATCTGGGATGGGAGAACAGAGGGTGCCTGGTGAATCCAGACTGCTCATGTGCTCTGGGTAACAAGAACCTTCATGTCCCCAACAGGGCCTGGCAGTTGGAAGGTACTTAAATTAGTGGATGGATGGGAGGGTGGATGGGTGGATGAGTGATAGGGGTCTAGGCATTTAGGGAATGAATCCCAGGGAAAGAGAGAGTACATTTGTTTATCCAGTATCTTCTTTGGGTCAGGTCTTGCCTCTTACCTCACCAAAGCAACTCTGTGATCCCCACTTTCTAGAAGAGGAACCTAAGACTGAGGAGAGGAAGGTTTTAGAAAACTTGCCCCAGAGCACCCAGCTAATAAGTGCCAGGACTGCGTTCTGAGCCTGGGTCTAACCCCAAAGCCACATTCTCTCCATTCTCCTACTGGGATGCTTGTGTCGCAAGAGAAGAGGAGGCGGCAACCATCTCTAGGATGCCCTTTCTCTGCAGGAGAGGGGCAGGGACAGCTCTCTCAAGCTGGGCAAGGAGCCTAGCCCCTCGCCTCCCCGTCTTCCCAGCCTCCCAGCCCAGCTCCACCCCAAAGGCACCACAGATCCGGGAGGGAGTGTAGACAGGGCAGCCGGATGCTACTTTGTTGGCCTCTGGCCCAGCCCCTGCGGGCTCTTAAGAACACAGCAAGGGAGCAGGGCTGGTCCTTGTCCTCAAAATCAGAAGAACCTTCCCACCTCTCCCAGATGTCTTGCTGCTTCATCTGATCCTCATTTTGAGGCTATTTCATTGACCTTCAAAAAGGAAGCCCAGCCTCTAGAGGTGTCCTTGCCCCAGGACCCAAAAGTCCTTTGGGCTGGCATCTCTAGTTGTGCATATTGTGCACTGCACAACTCCAGAGAGCACCACTTGCATTTGAAGTCACTTCACACTTGAAGTCATGACAATTTTTGGAAGATGGCAGTAAATGTCTTGAAGAAGGGCATTTTGTTCTGATTTACCCAGTCGCCTTTGGGCTTGTGGTCAGGGCTGATCCCACCCAGCCAGCCTCAAGCTTCCTGCTCCTGACCCTGCCTAGGAATGCCAGAATGGTGCCCACAGCCCCTCACTTAGGGGGTTCTTGAAGGGAGGGATTGGGTTGTCAGCTAGAGTCCTGGTCCCTTGAAGTGTTAATGTTAGAAGGTGACAGTGGAAAATGCTGTCAGAAACTCGCCAACACTAGACAAACAGGAGATAGTCATCTATCAGCTAAGAAATGTTTATTGATGTATTATTACTTTATTTCTGGCAAGAATGAACAACTTACTTGGCATCTTTACCTGAGTGTCCGCCAAGTAAGGCCAGTGTTCCTATTCCTGTGAATTTGCCCCTCTTTGGTCTCTGTGTGTCTGTGTGTACTAGGGGTGGGAAGACAGGGGTCTGTGGTGGCCCAGTCTCCACCCAGGTGTCTCAGATTGAAATAGCTTGAAAACTGCTTTGATTCTCCAGTCTTAAATTTGTCTTCTCCCCCCACACTCCAGAATTCATATGTATCCTTACCCCACCCTACCCTGTTCTGCTCTCTCAGGCCTGGTCACCCCCTTAGTTACTCCACCTGTCAGAGCCTTCTGCACCCAGAGCTTGGATGGGGAGTGGAAAATTCCCAGCTCTCATGCTCCCTTCCTGGCTGCAGGGCCTCATCCAAAGGTCACCTTGAATTGAACGCTAATTCCCCCCACGGGGAAGCAAGTTGGGATTGACAGCCAGGAGAAAGAGGGTGCAAGCACATGGGATGCAGCATGTTGGGGCCACTGACTCTGAGGGGCAAAGCTGGGGCCTGGAGGCCAGGGTGGGTGATCCTGAAGCACAAGAGCCCTGGCTGGAGGGTTGGCCTGGGACTGAGGTGGCCAAGGCAGAAGCTGGACGGGGATGGGTCATGAGCCGTGGCGTGGAGGCGGGAGTGTGAGGCCTGAGCTGTGGGGAAAGGAGTCTGAGTGGATAGGGCAGGGCATGAAGGCCTGTGCAGGCTCTGGGCCACCAAGAGACCAGAGATGGGCCCTGGGGGAAAGCCAGGTTCTGGGACCCAGAGCCTGGCCCTGGGGACCATTGAGCCAGGCCTGAGTCGACCTCTGGTGGCCACTTAACAAACTGCAGCCAGACCTCTGTCCCTTCCCTGTATCCACTCCTAGGTTTTTTCAAAGCCCCTGCTCCTATTCCCCATGTCCCACCTCCTGCCTCACTTTCCCACCTCTCCTTAAGCCCTTGTTACCTCCAAGACCTCAGACCCCAGACTCAGGTTCCAGTGCCAGAGGCTATACTTATCTCAGGGCTCTGGGCAGTTTGTGTTGCCTTGGTAACCTTTCCCATTCCTCCTTGCCTTCACTGTGGGAGATGGGGGACCTTCTGGCTGGGCCCCAGGCAGTGTCGGGATGTGGGCTTTGTGTCTGTGGGGTGCTCACAGTCTAAAGAAGAGGACAAAGCGCGGGAAGTATCCTCCATCTCAGCTTGGAGGAGCTGAGGCCTTGAGGTTGGCTGTGTTAGTCCAGAGTGGGTAGGATGGGGTCATCCTCCCAGGGCTAGGCTCTCCCTCACCTTCTACACCCCTTCCTACCCAGGCCTCTGGCCCCACAACCCCTCCCCTGAGTCAGCCCACCAGCTGACGTCCCTCTGCCGGCCCCCTTCCCTGCACTCTGGGATTGGTGCCAGGGTGAGAAGGGGACACTGGTACTGACCGTTCCTGGGAATTCCCGCCCACCGTGGAGTCTGTGGGAGGGGGTCCCCGTGTCCCTCAGGAGCCAATAGCAGCCAGGCTTTGCCCTGGGGGGAGGTGTATATCTTTCAGACCAGCACCCCCTAGGCACTGTCTCTTCTCTGCCTGCCTGGCACCAGCCAGACCCTGCTCTGCCCGGGGGGCTCTGAGCCCCCCAGGCAGTCTTTCTGAACAACCATCTTCCTTGGGGGGTTCTGAGGACCCTTTCCCCTTGGGGATGGCCCAGCCAGGAATCTCTGTCAAGTCCCTGGTGTCTTCGTATGAGACCCGAGTGGTAGGGGTGGCTCCGGGGCCTCCCCGGAAAAAAGGCTGTGTCTCCTCTCCTTGTTCCCCTCGAGGGGCATCTCCCATCCGAGGGGCATCTGGACCCTCACCCCACAGGGGCCTGGGGGGACCTGGGCAGCGACCCTCACCCTGCCGGGGGATGGACAAAACCCTCCTGTCCTTGATACTCTACTGTCACAGGTACAGGCAGGGCATGGGTGGGAGGCTGCTGTGCACCAGGCTTGGGGAGGAGGCCAGAGCCTTCTCTGAGAAGCTCCTGGAAAGTAGCTGGCTGGGATGTCCAGACACCTGGCTTGGCATCTGCTCTTCTTCCTCACCTGTCATCTCCCTGTGTCTTTCCAGCGGCTCCGGAAGCCTCGTTGGAATTGACAACAAGATTGAAAAAGCCATGGTAAGAGAAGCCATCTTAGTCCCAGGAGGTCCTGGCTCATGTGCTGATGCCGAGGCCCCTGTATCCTTTAGCTGTCCTGCTGCCCCATCCCTGCTGTCCTCATTAGGCAGTACTAACTCCCAGCTACCCTACCCTCCTGGCTAGGTTCCCTTGGGTTTTCCCCCTCCTGTCTCCACCAGAATCCTTGACTTCCTTTGGTCTTGGCATGGTTCCTAGCCCCCATCTAGTCTTTGAGCCCTGACTTTGCCTCTTTCTGGCATCCGTGGCCCCCACCCTTCCCTGCTTTGCCTCTTCCTCATTGGCCCCTCATTGTTTGAGAGCAGGGGAATCTCACACCTGGGCTGTCAAGACACTGGATGGGGGATGAGACTGGGGTGGCCTAGGACCCTGACACTTTGCCTGTCCCCGGGCACCAGGATTTGGTGAAGTCCCACCTCATGTTTGCGGTTCGGGAGGAGGTGGAGGTGCTGAAGGAGCAGATCAGAGACCTGGCTGAACGGAATGCTGCGTTGGAGCAGGAAAATGGACTGCTGCGGGCCCTGGCCAGTCCCGAGCAGCTGGCCCAACTGCCCTCCTCGGGGGTCCCACGGCTTGGGCCCTCCGCACCTAATGGGCCCTCTGTTTGAGCCTCCCTTCCCTCACAATGTGCCTTTGGGGGCTGCCACAGTTGTCAGGCCTTGCCAGCTGCCTGCCCCCTCTTCCTATGCAGCTTTAATGTCCCCTGGTCCCCAGGGATGGGAGTTGAAGGCTCAGAATTGGCCTGTCCCCCTACCCTTCCTCCATCTCCCCATAATGCCCAGGGACTGGGCTGGGGATCCTTAGGCCTTGAAGGGGGCTTCAGGATGGGGTGTTAGGTGAGGTCCTCTTCCTCCTTCCCTGGGTGTCAGTGTTCTGGAACCCCCAGCAGTAGATGGCTGGAGAGTTGGAGGCTCCCTGGCAGACACCCCATATCCACCTTCTTCCCTCAGAGTGCCCCCTCTCCTCTGCCCAGGGAAGGGAATATGGACAGTATCTGGAAGTTCTGGGATTCAGGTTGTTATTAAAATAATAATTATAATTAAAACCGAAGAAACTTGAATCTGGAGGTTGGCATCTCATTGCTTGTATCCAGATGAGGCGCCTGCACCATCAGTTTCCACTGTCAGGAGAAAGACTGAGGCCATGGGCTCCGCTGGAGATCTTGTCCAGAGGGGGCAAGGCCAGGTTCCATGTGGCTCAGACAGAGTGGTCAAAAGAGATGTGGGAAAAGGGAGCCAGTGGCCTGGGTCCTGGGAAGGGGCGGGCGAGGCTGGGGAAGGTTGCGGGGGGAGCATCAGCCCATGTGCTGGGGGGTTGGGGGACACACGGAAACAATGAGGCCTTTGGTGATTGTGCAAGACCCACTCCCAGCTTCCCAGCGTGTCCCCTCTGCGGGCTGGATCCGGGTGGCTCTTGGGGGCGGGGCAGGGGGCCCTGAATGGGCCCCTTGTCTCAGTGCTGGGTGTGGGCCAGGCTCCCCGGGCACACAGTGCCCTACCAAGGCCTGGCCAGCCTCCATGGCTTACACCCCCAGCTGGCTGAGGACGGGCCCTGTGGGTGAGCAGGCCCCTCCCTGTCAGCCTTGGCTGGCTCCCATCCAGTCCCAGGCGGAAGAGGCAGCTAGAGAGACGGACCCCATCTAGTGGGAAGGGGGAAAAGCAGCAGCCTCAGCTCAGAAGGACCCTCACCCCAAGCTAGAGAGCTAGATACTGGGACAAACGCAGGTTGGACCCCAGCCCTATAGCTCTCTAGATTTATGACTTTGGGCAGTTCTCTGGTTTTTCTGAATCTCAGCTTCCTCACGGGTAAAGTGGCACCAACAGTAATACTTGCCTGAAAGGATGCAGTGAGGGTTCTGTGACATCATACATGGAAAATGCCCAGCGAGCACCAGGTGCTCCACAAAAGTAGTTTTCCTTCCGCGGATCTGGAGGAAGGAGGGGCCCAGGGTGCATGCAGGGCTCAGCGATTGGCTCCCGGGGTCCTGGAAGGGCCTGGGGTGGGGGCGGTTGGGGTCAGCCAGGTAGCTCTCACAATGGGCTAGAACTCTCCCTCCCTCTGGGTTCTCATCCACTTTGATTCCTCTCCCTGTCTCAGGGAGGGGAGGAAAGCCCTAGGATGAGTTGTTGGGGGAAGCTTTCCTATTTCTTCACTGCTCTGCTTGAAGCTCCTGAGAGATCCCTTAGGTGGTGGCCACTGGCCTACAGCCTGTCTCCCTCCCCCTAACTCTACCAAATGCTGGTATTGCCCTCTGCTTGGTGCTTGTGTATCGGGAGAAATGGCCAGGGTCATGAGGTTCTTCCGATGGATTTGGCAAAAGATTACTTTCTGGGTGAGTTTCAGAGACTACCCCTTCCTCATGACATGCTGGGGTGCGAGGTTTTGACCTGTGACCTTTAGGTCACACAAATGCTCACCTCTCTTGGCCTCCTTCCCTCACAGCCTCCTATGAGGTAAGGGATAAGGAGCTGGGGAGGAGGCTGGGACACTCCCTGCCCCTTCCCCTCCATGCCTTCCTTTCTGCCAACTCTCCTCTCTGCTCTGCCCCTTTCTTCTGTCTCTCCTCTCCCTGTCTTGATTCTTAGATTTTCTTCTGGAAACACAAAGCGAAGCCAATCGTCTCAGAATGCCCTGACTCCAAGAAAAGCATGTTGAAGTTGGAGAAGACCCCCAACGTGGTTGAGACTTTAGAGTTGATTGAACCCTCCAAAGAGTCTAAGACTTTCAACACGGATGAGTCCCTGCAGGTGGCTGATCCCTGTGGCACGCTGGCCAAGACAACAGGTGGGGCTGAGGTGGAGCTGGGTCATGGTGGCTGGTCCCTGCTGCAGCTGCCCTGGTTGGCCATCAAGTCTGTCTCTTTGCTCATGATCTCGTCCCTGCAGTCTGGCTGGCAAATGTGCAGTGGGAAGGTCAGTACCACACTCCCTTGTCCCCACCAGTCCTCTCATCTTCCCTGATTCCCCATGGCTCATTGCTCCCTCTGTCCACTTGTTCGACATGTGCCTGTAATAAGTGCCAGGCACCCACAGTGAAGCAAGATTCACCGAGACTGAGGGTGCTTACAGACAAACTCATAGCATTTTTGGTTCAATATCATAGAGCTTGACATGGGCATCTAGGGGCCTGTGAGAGCCCAGGGAAGGGGCATCTAATCTAGACCCAGGGAGTCAAGAAAGGCCTTCCTAGCAGAAGAGAGGGTGAAGCTGAGACCTGAAGGATTTGGCCTGGCTTGGGGTGGAGTGGGGGACTACAGGGAAGTAGAGGGAGTAGGGGAGCAGTCCATGAACAGAGAATAGCAGATGTGGGGTGCTGGCCCAAGGTGATGGGTTTGGGCAGTCCAGGGGCCGAGGGCCATGCTTGTACAAGGAAAGTAGGGGGCCAGTTGTGGAATTTGGATTTGACCATAAGAGCAATGGGAGCCTTTGCAGACATTGGAATGGAGGAGTGACACAGTCAGATTTTGATTTAGCAAGCTCACCCTCACTCATACATTGCTGGTGGGAATGTAAAATGGTATGGCCCCTTGGCAAAAGTTTGGTAGTTTCTCATACAAACTTGCAACTATCATATGAACCAGCGACTGTCTTCCTGGGCATTTCTCCTAGACAAATGAAATTTATGTCCACACAAAAATCTATTCATGCATGTTCATAGCAGCTTTATTTGTAGTAGCCAAACCAACCTAAATGTCCTTCAGTGGGAGAATGCTTAAACTGCATATATCCATGGATTACTTCTGCCATACAAAGGAACAAAGTATTGATATATGCAGCAACTTGGATAAATCTCAAGAGAATTATGCTTGAGTGAAAACACCCCATCCCAGAAGGTTAAATACTGTATGGTTATATCATACACCATTTATATTATAGACCGTTCTTGAAATAACAAAATTATAGACAAGGAGACCCAATTACGTGAGTTTGTTGTTATCAGGAATTGCAGGGTAGGGTTGTTGGGGGTGGAATGAGTTGGTTATAAAAGGGCAATATCTCCAGCCGAGAGAGAGAGATGTTCTGGACAGTGCTGGGGGTAGAATTGTTGTGCTGGTGGTTGACTGAATGACAGAGCAGAGGGAGAGAGAAGTCAGGGTGGGCTGGAGCCATTTGCAGAGATGGAGAAAGGAGGAGGGAGAGCTGACTTGGGAGAAAGTGAAGAATTTAGGGCACTGGGACGAAATGAGTTGAGATGTTGGTGGGACACCTGCATGGAGACATCTCGGAGGCAGGGAGATTACAGGCCTGGAGGTCAGGAGGGAGCTCTAAGGCTGGAGACAGAGGTCAGGGTGTCATTCTGTCCTTGATTTTAACACACGCTCTATGAAACCCTAGTGGGGATTCAAAGGTTCAAAGGTGGGTGGCTGGGAGGACAGAGATGGGGGTGGCTGGGAGGCCGTGGGAGAGGGCAAGGAGCCTCATAGGGGCGCGTGGAGAACGAGGGACACAGCAGGCTGGGCAGGACTCTCAGGAATGTGTGAGCTATCTGTTCTGCCAGGGCCCAGAGAGTCACCTGCTCCTATTGCTGCTATTCTAAGTGCTTCCCACCCTCTTCCCCTCCACTTGGGAGGTTCCCTGTCCTGAGGGCTCCCTGTCCCTCCCCCATCCCCGTTAATTTCAGAGCCCAGCCTCCTGCTTTCTCTGTTTCAGAGGGCTCTGCCTCCAGAAGTCTCCCCAGCTCTGTTCTTCTGGCTTGTTCCTTCTCTCCCACTGTCCCACCCCACTTCCACACACCCCAGTCTGACCGGTCCAGCCCCCAGCCTCCACTTTACCTTGCTCCACTGCAAGCCTCTGGGGCTACATCCCCACCCAGCCCCTTGTGCCCCACCTGGCTGGGCCAGTGTTTTGGGGTTGGGCCACCCTCTTGGCCCCCTGGAATGGGACATGTAACCCCCACCTCACCTCTCTGGTTTGCCTGGAGCTGGCAGAAGAACCAAGTCTGTGGGGCATGGGACTTCCCTTTCATGAGGGAAAATGGGCTAGGGTGTAAAATACCTCGATCCCACATGGGATTGAGGATGCCTGGCCAATCCCAGAATCTGGGATGGGAGAACAGAGGGTGCCTGGTGAATCCAGACTGCTCATGTGCTCTGGGTAACAAGAACCTTCATGTCCCCAACAGGGCCTGGCAGTTGGAAGGTACTTAAATTAGTGGATGGATGGGAGGGTGGATGGGTGGATGAGTGATAGGGGTCTAGGCATTTAGGGAATGAATCCCAGGGAAAGAGAGAGTACATTTGTTTATCCAGTATCTTCTTTGGGTCAGGTCTTGCCTCTTACCTCACCAAAGCAACTCTGTGATCCCCACTTTCTAGAAGAGGAACCTAAGACTGAGGAGAGGAAGGTTTTAGAAAACTTGCCCCAGAGCACCCAGCTAATAAGTGCCAGGACTGCGTTCTGAGCCTGGGTCTAACCCCAAAGCCACATTCTCTCCATTCTCCTACTGGGATGCTTGTGTCGCAAGAGAAGAGGAGGCGGCAACCATCTCTAGGATGCCCTTTCTCTGCAGGAGAGGGGCAGGGACAGCTCTCTCAAGCTGGGCAAGGAGCCTAGCCCCTCGCCTCCCCGTCTTCCCAGCCTCCCAGCCCAGCTCCACCCCAAAGGCACCACAGATCCGGGAGGGAGTGTAGACAGGGCAGCCGGATGCTACTTTGTTGGCCTCTGGCCCAGCCCCTGCGGGCTCTTAAGAACACAGCAAGGGAGCAGGGCTGGTCCTTGTCCTCAAAATCAGAAGAACCTTCCCACCTCTCCCAGATGTCTTGCTGCTTCATCTGATCCTCATTTTGAGGCTATTTCATTGACCTTCAAAAAGGAAGCCCAGCCTCTAGAGGTGTCCTTGCCCCAGGACCCAAAAGTCCTTTGGGCTGGCATCTCTAGTTGTGCATATTGTGCACTGCACAACTCCAGAGAGCACCACTTGCATTTGAAGTCACTTCACACTTGAAGTCATGACAATTTTTGGAAGATGGCAGTAAATGTCTTGAAGAAGGGCATTTTGTTCTGATTTACCCAGTCGCCTTTGGGCTTGTGGTCAGGGCTGATCCCACCCAGCCAGCCTCAAGCTTCCTGCTCCTGACCCTGCCTAGGAATGCCAGAATGGTGCCCACAGCCCCTCACTTAGGGGGTTCTTGAAGGGAGGGATTGGGTTGTCAGCTAGAGTCCTGGTCCCTTGAAGTGTTAATGTTAGAAGGTGACAGTGGAAAATGCTGTCAGAAACTCGCCAACACTAGACAAACAGGAGATAGTCATCTATCAGCTAAGAAATGTTTATTGATGTATTATTACTTTATTTCTGGCAAGAATGAACAACTTACTTGGCATCTTTACCTGAGTGTCCGCCAAGTAAGGCCAGTGTTCCTATTCCTGTGAATTTGCCCCTCTTTGGTCTCTGTGTGTCTGTGTGTACTAGGGGTGGGAAGACAGGGGTCTGTGGTGGCCCAGTCTCCACCCAGGTGTCTCAGATTGAAATAGCTTGAAAACTGCTTTGATTCTCCAGTCTTAAATTTGTCTTCTCCCCCCACACTCCAGAATTCATATGTATCCTTACCCCACCCTACCCTGTTCTGCTCTCTCAGGCCTGGTCACCCCCTTAGTTACTCCACCTGTCAGAGCCTTCTGCACCCAGAGCTTGGATGGGGAGTGGAAAATTCCCAGCTCTCATGCTCCCTTCCTGGCTGCAGGGCCTCATCCAAAGGTCACCTTGAATTGAACGCTAATTCCCCCCACGGGGAAGCAAGTTGGGATTGACAGCCAGGAGAAAGAGGGTGCAAGCACATGGGATGCAGCATGTTGGGGCCACTGACTCTGAGGGGCAAAGCTGGGGCCTGGAGGCCAGGGTGGGTGATCCTGAAGCACAAGAGCCCTGGCTGGAGGGTTGGCCTGGGACTGAGGTGGCCAAGGCAGAAGCTGGACGGGGATGGGTCATGAGCCGTGGCGTGGAGGCGGGAGTGTGAGGCCTGAGCTGTGGGGAAAGGAGTCTGAGTGGATAGGGCAGGGCATGAAGGCCTGTGCAGGCTCTGGGCCACCAAGAGACCAGAGATGGGCCCTGGGGGAAAGCCAGGTTCTGGGACCCAGAGCCTGGCCCTGGGGACCATTGAGCCAGGCCTGAGTCGACCTCTGGTGGCCACTTAACAAACTGCAGCCAGACCTCTGTCCCTTCCCTGTATCCACTCCTAGGTTTTTTCAAAGCCCCTGCTCCTATTCCCCATGTCCCACCTCCTGCCTCACTTTCCCACCTCTCCTTAAGCCCTTGTTACCTCCAAGACCTCAGACCCCAGACTCAGGTTCCAGTGCCAGAGGCTATACTTATCTCAGGGCTCTGGGCAGTTTGTGTTGCCTTGGTAACCTTTCCCATTCCTCCTTGCCTTCACTGTGGGAGATGGGGGACCTTCTGGCTGGGCCCCAGGCAGTGTCGGGATGTGGGCTTTGTGTCTGTGGGGTGCTCACAGTCTAAAGAAGAGGACAAAGCGCGGGAAGTATCCTCCATCTCAGCTTGGAGGAGCTGAGGCCTTGAGGTTGGCTGTGTTAGTCCAGAGTGGGTAGGATGGGGTCATCCTCCCAGGGCTAGGCTCTCCCTCACCTTCTACACCCCTTCCTACCCAGGCCTCTGGCCCCACAACCCCTCCCCTGAGTCAGCCCACCAGCTGACGTCCCTCTGCCGGCCCCCTTCCCTGCACTCTGGGATTGGTGCCAGGGTGAGAAGGGGACACTGGTACTGACCGTTCCTGGGAATTCCCGCCCACCGTGGAGTCTGTGGGAGGGGGTCCCCGTGTCCCTCAGGAGCCAATAGCAGCCAGGCTTTGCCCTGGGGGGAGGTGTATATCTTTCAGACCAGCACCCCCTAGGCACTGTCTCTTCTCTGCCTGCCTGGCACCAGCCAGACCCTGCTCTGCCCGGGGGGCTCTGAGCCCCCCAGGCAGTCTTTCTGAACAACCATCTTCCTTGGGGGGTTCTGAGGACCCTTTCCCCTTGGGGATGGCCCAGCCAGGAATCTCTGTCAAGTCCCTGGTGTCTTCGTATGAGACCCGAGTGGTAGGGGTGGCTCCGGGGCCTCCCCGGAAAAAAGGCTGTGTCTCCTCTCCTTGTTCCCCTCGAGGGGCATCTCCCATCCGAGGGGCATCTGGACCCTCACCCCACAGGGGCCTGGGGGGACCTGGGCAGCGACCCTCACCCTGCCGGGGGATGGACAAAACCCTCCTGTCCTTGATACTCTACTGTCACAGGTACAGGCAGGGCATGGGTGGGAGGCTGCTGTGCACCAGGCTTGGGGAGGAGGCCAGAGCCTTCTCTGAGAAGCTCCTGGAAAGTAGCTGGCTGGGATGTCCAGACACCTGGCTTGGCATCTGCTCTTCTTCCTCACCTGTCATCTCCCTGTGTCTTTCCAGCGGCTCCGGAAGCCTCGTTGGAATTGACAACAAGATTGAAAAAGCCATGGTAAGAGAAGCCATCTTAGTCCCAGGAGGTCCTGGCTCATGTGCTGATGCCGAGGCCCCTGTATCCTTTAGCTGTCCTGCTGCCCCATCCCTGCTGTCCTCATTAGGCAGTACTAACTCCCAGCTACCCTACCCTCCTGGCTAGGTTCCCTTGGGTTTTCCCCCTCCTGTCTCCACCAGAATCCTTGACTTCCTTTGGTCTTGGCATGGTTCCTAGCCCCCATCTAGTCTTTGAGCCCTGACTTTGCCTCTTTCTGGCATCCGTGGCCCCCACCCTTCCCTGCTTTGCCTCTTCCTCATTGGCCCCTCATTGTTTGAGAGCAGGGGAATCTCACACCTGGGCTGTCAAGACACTGGATGGGGGATGAGACTGGGGTGGCCTAGGACCCTGACACTTTGCCTGTCCCCGGGCACCAGGATTTGGTGAAGTCCCACCTCATGTTTGCGGTTCGGGAGGAGGTGGAGGTGCTGAAGGAGCAGATCAGAGACCTGGCTGAACGGAATGCTGCGTTGGAGCAGGAAAATGGACTGCTGCGGGCCCTGGCCAGTCCCGAGCAGCTGGCCCAACTGCCCTCCTCGGGGGTCCCACGGCTTGGGCCCTCCGCACCTAATGGGCCCTCTGTTTGAGCCTCCCTTCCCTCACAATGTGCCTTTGGGGGCTGCCACAGTTGTCAGGCCTTGCCAGCTGCCTGCCCCCTCTTCCTATGCAGCTTTAATGTCCCCTGGTCCCCAGGGATGGGAGTTGAAGGCTCAGAATTGGCCTGTCCCCCTACCCTTCCTCCATCTCCCCATAATGCCCAGGGACTGGGCTGGGGATCCTTAGGCCTTGAAGGGGGCTTCAGGATGGGGTGTTAGGTGAGGTCCTCTTCCTCCTTCCCTGGGTGTCAGTGTTCTGGAACCCCCAGCAGTAGATGGCTGGAGAGTTGGAGGCTCCCTGGCAGACACCCCATATCCACCTTCTTCCCTCAGAGTGCCCCCTCTCCTCTGCCCAGGGAAGGGAATATGGACAGTATCTGGAAGTTCTGGGATTCAGGTTGTTATTAAAATAATAATTATAATTAAAACCGAAGAAACTTGAATCTGGAGGTTGGCATCTCATTGCTTGTATCCAGATGAGGCGCCTGCACCATCAGTTTCCACTGTCAGGAGAAAGACTGAGGCCATGGGCTCCGCTGGAGATCTTGTCCAGAGGGGGCAAGGCCAGGTTCCATGTGGCTCAGACAGAGTGGTCAAAAGAGATGTGGGAAAAGGGAGCCAGTGGCCTGGGTCCTGGGAAGGGGCGGGCGAGGCTGGGGAAGGTTGCGGGGGGAGCATCAGCCCATGTGCTGGGGGGTTGGGGGACACACGGAAACAATGAGGCCTTTGGTGATTGTGCAAGACCCACTCCCAGCTTCCCAGCGTGTCCCCTCTGCGGGCTGGATCCGGGTGGCTCTTGGGGGCGGGGCAGGGGGCCCTGAATGGGCCCCTTGTCTCAGTGCTGGGTGTGGGCCAGGCTCCCCGGGCACACAGTGCCCTACCAAGGCCTGGCCAGCCTCCATGGCTTACACCCCCAGCTGGCTGAGGACGGGCCCTGTGGGTGAGCAGGCCCCTCCCTGTCAGCCTTGGCTGGCTCCCATCCAGTCCCAGGCGGAAGAGGCAGCTAGAGAGACGGACCCCATCTAGTGGGAAGGGGGAAAAGCAGCAGCCTCAGCTCAGAAGGACCCTCACCCCAAGCTAGAGAGCTAGATACTGGGACAAACGCAGGTTGGACCCCAGCCCTATAGCTCTCTAGATTTATGACTTTGGGCAGTTCTCTGGTTTTTCTGAATCTCAGCTTCCTCACGGGTAAAGTGGCACCAACAGTAATACTTGCCTGAAAGGATGCAGTGAGGGTTCTGTGACATCATACATGGAAAATGCCCAGCGAGCACCAGGTGCTCCACAAAAGTAGTTTTCCTTCCGCGGATCTGGAGGAAGGAGGGGCCCAGGGTGCATGCAGGGCTCAGCGATTGGCTCCCGGGGTCCTGGAAGGGCCTGGGGTGGGGGCGGTTGGGGTCAGCCAGGTAGCTCTCACAATGGGCTAGAACTCTCCCTCCCTCTGGGTTCTCATCCACTTTGATTCCTCTCCCTGTCTCAGGGAGGGGAGGAAAGCCCTAGGATGAGTTGTTGGGGGAAGCTTTCCTATTTCTTCACTGCTCTGCTTGAAGCTCCTGAGAGATCCCTTAGGTGGTGGCCACTGGCCTACAGCCTGTCTCCCTCCCCCTAACTCTACCAAATGCTGGTATTGCCCTCTGCTTGGTGCTTGTGTATCGGGAGAAATGGCCAGGGTCATGAGGTTCTTCCGATGGATTTGGCAAAAGATTACTTTCTGGGTGAGTTTCAGAGACTACCCCTTCCTCATGACATGCTGGGGTGCGAGGTTTTGACCTGTGACCTTTAGGTCACACAAATGCTCACCTCTCTTGGCCTCCTTCCCTCACAGCCTCCTATGAGGTAAGGGATAAGGAGCTGGGGAGGAGGCTGGGACACTCCCTGCCCCTTCCCCTCCATGCCTTCCTTTCTGCCAACTCTCCTCTCTGCTCTGCCCCTTTCTTCTGTCTCTCCTCTCCCTGTCTTGATTCTTAGATTTTCTTCTGGAAACACAAAGCGAAGCCAATCGTCTCAGAATGCCCTGACTCCAAGAAAAGCATGTTGAAGTTGGAGAAGACCCCCAACGTGGTTGAGACTTTAGAGTTGATTGAACCCTCCAAAGAGTCTAAGACTTTCAACACGGATGAGTCCCTGCAGGTGGCTGATCCCTGTGGCACGCTGGCCAAGACAACAGGTGGGGCTGAGGTGGAGCTGGGTCATGGTGGCTGGTCCCTGCTGCAGCTGCCCTGGTTGGCCATCAAGTCTGTCTCTTTGCTCATGATCTCGTCCCTGCAGTCTGGCTGGCAAATGTGCAGTGGGAAGGTCAGTACCACACTCCCTTGTCCCCACCAGTCCTCTCATCTTCCCTGATTCCCCATGGCTCATTGCTCCCTCTGTCCACTTGTTCGACATGTGCCTGTAATAAGTGCCAGGCACCCACAGTGAAGCAAGATTCACCGAGACTGAGGGTGCTTACAGACAAACTCATAGCATTTTTGGTTCAATATCATAGAGCTTGACATGGGCATCTAGGGGCCTGTGAGAGCCCAGGGAAGGGGCATCTAATCTAGACCCAGGGAGTCAAGAAAGGCCTTCCTAGCAGAAGAGAGGGTGAAGCTGAGACCTGAAGGATTTGGCCTGGCTTGGGGTGGAGTGGGGGACTACAGGGAAGTAGAGGGAGTAGGGGAGCAGTCCATGAACAGAGAATAGCAGATGTGGGGTGCTGGCCCAAGGTGATGGGTTTGGGCAGTCCAGGGGCCGAGGGCCATGCTTGTACAAGGAAAGTAGGGGGCCAGTTGTGGAATTTGGATTTGACCATAAGAGCAATGGGAGCCTTTGCAGACATTGGAATGGAGGAGTGACACAGTCAGATTTTGATTTAGCAAGCTCACCCTCACTCATACATTGCTGGTGGGAATGTAAAATGGTATGGCCCCTTGGCAAAAGTTTGGTAGTTTCTCATACAAACTTGCAACTATCATATGAACCAGCGACTGTCTTCCTGGGCATTTCTCCTAGACAAATGAAATTTATGTCCACACAAAAATCTATTCATGCATGTTCATAGCAGCTTTATTTGTAGTAGCCAAACCAACCTAAATGTCCTTCAGTGGGAGAATGCTTAAACTGCATATATCCATGGATTACTTCTGCCATACAAAGGAACAAAGTATTGATATATGCAGCAACTTGGATAAATCTCAAGAGAATTATGCTTGAGTGAAAACACCCCATCCCAGAAGGTTAAATACTGTATGGTTATATCATACACCATTTATATTATAGACCGTTCTTGAAATAACAAAATTATAGACAAGGAGACCCAATTACGTGAGTTTGTTGTTATCAGGAATTGCAGGGTAGGGTTGTTGGGGGTGGAATGAGTTGGTTATAAAAGGGCAATATCTCCAGCCGAGAGAGAGAGATGTTCTGGACAGTGCTGGGGGTAGAATTGTTGTGCTGGTGGTTGACTGAATGACAGAGCAGAGGGAGAGAGAAGTCAGGGTGGGCTGGAGCCATTTGCAGAGATGGAGAAAGGAGGAGGGAGAGCTGACTTGGGAGAAAGTGAAGAATTTAGGGCACTGGGACGAAATGAGTTGAGATGTTGGTGGGACACCTGCATGGAGACATCTCGGAGGCAGGGAGATTACAGGCCTGGAGGTCAGGAGGGAGCTCTAAGGCTGGAGACAGAGGTCAGGGTGTCATTCTGTCCTTGATTTTAACACACGCTCTATGAAACCCTAGTGGGGATTCAAAGGTTCAAAGGTGGGTCAGACATGATCCCAGTCTTCCCGAAGCTTTCATTCTAGTGTTGAAAACAGATGAGTCCACAGAACAAATAATGTATGAAATACATATTCATTCAAGGAAGAGGAAGCAGAGACAATGAACACCTAGTGCAGCCTGGGAAGGCTTCCTGGGGGAGGCAGTGCCTGAGCTGAGGCCTGAAGGAGGAGATGGAGTTAGACCAGCCTTTGCTGTTTATCTGCAGGTGGTCCCACCAGCGGTTTCTTCCCAGACCAATTTATTTACCTGTGTACCTCTCTCTTCTTGATAGTCATCTGTGAGTTCTACCTCACTTAGCTCCCAAATGAGGACCCGGTCCCCTTTGGAGTCACCGGAGCCTGAGATGCTGTGGCAAGTGTACTTGGTGCTGTGGGCCATTCGGAAACAACTGCGGCAGCTGGCCCACAGGCAGGAGAGGCGGAGGCGGAGGCGGCGCCACACCCAGGCCCACACGGGCCTCCGCCCTGCCCATTTCCATGCCTGAAACAGGATATCCGGAGTTCCCTCTAGGGGGGAGCTCCACATCCTCAGAAAGCCCCCGCCTCACTCTTAGGTAAGGTTGATAGGAGAGGTTAGGGCAGCAAGCCGAGAGTTGTGGATGAGGAGAAGTTTCATACTGTTACCTCTCCTTGGAAGCCCAAGACCAAGCCAGGGCCCCCACACTCCTCTTCATTCCACGTATTCAATCTGTAAAAAAAATTACCAAATTGTTGGAAAATAAAGATCAGCTATTTCAGAGTAAATGCAGATTGTGTCTGTGGGTGGCCAGAGACAATGAGGGAAACTTGGGTGGGGCAGGGAGGGGCACCCAAGGTGCTGGCCTAAATCTGTGTGGAGGTAACCTGTGGGCCTGTTGGAGCCGGGGGAATCAACAGGTTCTGGCCCTGGGCTCACACGCACTTCCAGGGGCTTATCTGCCTTTGGCAACCCTGCCAGCTCGTAGGGACCCCAATAGCACCAGTTTCTCGAGGATGTGCTGTGCGCATGTCTGGCCCAAGCTCTCCCCTGCAGTCCTATCAGATAGACAGACAGACAGAGGCTATGGACAACAGCCAAGAAGACATTGCTAGAAACTGCCCACCTCCAGCAGCCAGCCCATTGCCCTGCCTCTCTGGCACCCTTGGCCTTGGGTCAGGGGGCCTGAAGACACTCCAGCCTCCAGGGGCCGCGCATGGGTAGGCCAGGCGCGCTCAGGTCCTGCTGAGAACTGCAGAACCCACACCTATAGGATCTCCTGCGGTGACAGGTCGGGAGGGAGAGGACGTTGATGGGGAGGCAACAGAAGCAGCAAGAGGCAAGCCTGGACCCACAAGCCTGCTCTCAGCGTTAGCCTGTGCTCTTGAGGCCCATGTGGAGGCACAGAGGTTCCCTAAGGAAAAGCAGGGCTATTTTTCTTTTTTACAAGCCAGCAGAATTCATATACATTTCAGGGTTCACAGAGCTTGGGGTGGCAGCAGAGGCCCCGGGAGGGTACACACTGCTGCACTGAAGACTTGCTCCCAGAGAGGTTAGTAGGGAGTAGCTGGTGGTGGGTGCGAACAAACGGGGTAGTGAGGAGCAACGGGTGGTTTGCTGGGAGCACTCAGTTCACTAGGAAAGTCAGCAAACAGCCTCTGCAGCTCTGGGGGAGTTGGGCCCCATAGGTAGGAATCTGGTGGCCTCTTCCAAGAAACTGGAGCACAGGGTTGCCCAGTCTCAGCTCTGCCACCCCGAGCCTATCGCTATCAGGGTACCTCCACCTTTACAGCCACAACAATATCACCCCCACCACTTACTAAAGCAGCTACTGTTTTTATTATTATTACTATTATTTATTTACTAATTATTTTTATTATTTGTTATTGTTATAATTCTCACAACAGCTTTATGATGTATTATCATTTCCATTTTTTAGAGGAGAAAACCAAGGGACAGAAAGGTCATGTTTAATAAGGTCATGCAGCTTTCATTCAGCTGGTTTACGAGTCCAGCTCATGAAAGACATTAACACACATGCAACATGTACACACACATACATGTTCCATAGCAGGTGTTCAATACATGAATGAAGTGACTTTGCTGGGAATCAGTCCTGAGTTGAATCTGAAGTCGAAGCCTGTTTTCAGGTGGGGCCTCAAAGCACACTGATACACAGCTCATTTCTGAGTCTTTCAAGGACCAACTCATCTCATCTCCCTGTGTACCAGGAACCATTCTGGGACCGAACAGCATTGGTGCTGGGTCTGTGTCCTGGGAAGCCAGAAGTTGAAGGGTACCAGAGCTATATAGGAGTGCCTCACTGTAAGATCCAGATCAGTCTGTCCAGGTCCTGAGAGACAGGCTCCTTTTCATGCTGGGGACTTCATGGTTTCAGTGAGAAGAGGACAGGATGGACTGAAGGCTGCGCGTCCCCGAGGGTCATGTAAATGGCCTGTATGCAGCTGCACATCCAGGGAGCCAAGCCGGGCTTGAGGCTGTGGGCTTGTGGGAAGGAAAACTGCTCTCATTTGTATGGGCTTCTTCAGCATCTTGGGAGTGGGAGGAGAGCAAGAAGGTGAGTTCAGCCAGCAGCCAAGGGAGCTGCTGGCACCTCCCACCCCTCGCTGCCCAGCAGACAGGAGGGAGTCCTGCCCAGGCAAGGCAAAACAGGGGCGGGGAGACTTGTGGGAGAGAAAGGGCAGGAGTGGAAAGGGAAAGGCCACAGAACTTGCTTTTCCGATGTCTCAGTGCACCCAGGTGACCTCCTCTGTCCCCATCCTAAGTAATCCAGCCCAGAGCCCTGGTGACCATGAGGAAGAACTTCTCAACAGGGGGAGAAGCATGGAGGATCTCATGGGGTAGAGATTTGGGGGTAGGATCTTACCCTGCTTTCTTCTGGGAGAGAGCAGTTGGGGACAGTGATGCCTGGGGAAATCTACCTCTTGGTGACAATCTTCAGTAAAAAAGTCCCACCTTGGATGACCTCCCCTCCCATCCCCATCAGACCACAGGCCCTTCCCTCCCTCAGAGCTGCTCTACCTTATGAGAGGGCTGTGGGTGCACTTAGCTGGGACCAGGGCTCTTCTTTATTTTCAAAACCCACCCACCGTGTTAGAGAGGGGGTCCTGGGAATGTGGGAGTAAAATGAGAGGCCAGTCCCAGAGGCCCCTGCTGCCTGCCCTAACACCCCCACCCCATCATCATGTGATTTCCTGAAATCTCAGTTATTTTCTCCTGCTCCACCACACAGCAAAACATGTCACTCCCCTGCTGAAACCTTCCAATGGCTTTCCATCAGCCTTGGAAAAAATCCAAACTGTTCCCTTGGTCTAAAGTGCCCTTCTCTCAGATCTTGGTATGGGGGCTTCTTGCCAGTTTGGATTCTATACAAATGTCACACTTGTTCACAAACTCTTTCCCTGCCCACCCGATCTAGAGATCATGAGAGACCCACTATCTCAGTCATCCTCTATGTCTCTCCATGCTTCATTTTTCATAGTACTTTACAGTATCTGGAATTATATTTATTTACCAGTGTACTTGGGATGCAACAGTGAAATGCAGTAGTTAAGAGCATGGGAAGTGGTTTAAGCTAACACTTCCTGGATGTGTAACCTTGGGTAAATTGGTTAACCTCCCTGAGCCTCAGTTTCCTCATCTGTAAAATGGGGCCAGTAGTAGGTACCTGTATGACAGGGTTGTCATGGGGATCAAGGAAATGATGCTGGGCACAACATAAGGACTCAATAAATGTTAGCTGTTCGTATTATGATAATGGTTAAGACTTACTGTTTATGATGACTATTCCCTAAAACAGTGCTGAATGCCACAGGAAGTAAACTTTCACCTAGGATGTGGGACGCCTGCTCCCATCAGCTGTATTATGGAGGGAATGCCATTGTGGACGTGACAAAGAATGCCATGTGCAGCAGGTAGCTAGATGGAAGAGCACGTGACAGAGCACTTTACTTACTGCAGGACTCAGGCAAGTCCCTTCCTTCTCTGGGCTTCAGGCTCTTCTGGTACATTGATGTGTTGAAGCAACCGATTGCTCTGCTCCCTGCCAGCTTCCAGTGGTTCCAGTGTGGGTCCTGTGCTTCCTTTATCCACCACATAGGCTTCAGGGTTCCCAGACACTTGGTACCTTCAACTTCCCTCAGCCCTGCTTCCTAACAGTCCAGAGCTGCCACAGAGAGAGCTGACCCACGTAAACCAAAGGGTTTAAGCCTTTGAACCCAGTGACAAAGTCCCAGTCCTGGATACCAGATCTTTTTTTCACCCATGCCCCTCTTCCCTTCAGCCTCATTTACTTTTGTATTTGAGACCTGGCAGAGGAGAGCCAGCCCTGAGCCTACGGTGGGCTGGGCACGGGCATGAAGGCCTTGACCTCAGAGTTATTCCCAGACATGCAGACAGGGTGTATGTCCAGCTGAATGCACACAGATGCATGTGCCTGTACGTATTTCTGGGTGTCTAGCTATATTTCATCCTGTTCCCATTTTCCCAGCAGTGGCAAGACTGAGATTAGTTAGAGTACAAGAGTGCCATTTCTGGGTCATATTGTAAGTACCTGTTTAGTTTTGTAAGAAACTGCCACGCTCGTTTCCATTTACACTCCCACCAGGAATGTATAGAGTGATCCACTTATTCCGCATCCTCTCCGGCCTTTGGCATTATCACTATTTTTTATTTTAGCCCTTCTGATAGGTGTGTAGTGATATCTCATTCTGGTTTTAATTTGCATTTCCCAAATGGCTAATGCTGCTGAACATCTTTTCATGATTGTTCATATAACTGCCATTGATGTATCCTCTAGGGAAATGTCATGTTTTGCCCATTTTCTAATTGGATTGTTTTTAATTTTAATTTTTGAGTTTGGAGAGCTTTTTAGAAAATATTGTCTAGATGTGTATGAGTCCTTTGTTGGGTATGCCATTTGCAAATATACCCTGCTGGTCTATAGCTGTCATTTCATCCTCATAGGAGGGACTTTCACAGAGTACAGGTTTTTAATTCTGAGTCAGTCCAATTTATCCCTTTTTCCTTCTATGTATTGTGCCTTTGGTATCAAGGCTGAAAACCCTTCATCTACCGCTAAGTCTCGAAGATTTTCTCCTATGTTTTTCTTTCTGTTCTCTATTTTATACTTTGACATTTTACATATTTAAGTCTGTGATCCCTTTTAAGTTAATGGAGTTATTTCATATTCTTCTTTTACCATGCAGATATATTTTCCAGAATTTTTATGGGGCTAGTGAGATCTTTTTTAGTGTAACTTGGAGCATATCATCTCTCCATTTAAGATATTTTCAGGGCGTCCTGTAGCATTTAGGATGAAATCCAAACTCCTTACCTCAGCTCCTGGCTGTGGTCCCTGCCCACTGGCCTGGCCTCATCTCTCAGGGTTTCCCTTCCACTGCGCTGGCTAGTTTCAGTTTATCTCCTCTTCCCCTTGGGCCTTTGCAAATGCTGATTCTTCTGTTTTGAAAGTTGCTCCTCCACATTCTTCGCTGGGCTTGCTGATAGTCTTCCTTCAGATCTCTCCAACTATCCTGAATCCCGCCCAGCTTGTCCCGCGGGCTTTGTTCTGGCTGGGTCCCAGGGCTTACCTCAGCTCAGTGCCTGGCAGGCATAGGTGCTCAATGGTTGTTTGGGAGAGGGGAGGATGACTCTGTGGGTATGGACTAATCGGTCCTGGGCTGTTCACCTAGTGAGACCAGCATGTATTTCAGGGTTCAGACTCTCTTTGGGGTCCTGCCTCTGGCTCCCCAACTGTGCTTC